ACAGTTCAGTTAGTGAGCAGAGGAAGTGAGCGGTGAGATGCCATCCTGCACAGAGCCCTGTGCAGGTGGACACTGAGCTTAGGGCAGGAGCCACAGGGGGAAAAGCAAGCAGCTAAGGAAGGGACTAAATAACTGGCCCTGGGAGCTCTTTCCTCTCAAACTTACACAGCTAAACCTGTAATCAGCCACTCAGTTTTGTGACCTGTCCTTAACTACATACAAACATTACAGTGATGAGAGGAAAGCAGTAGTTGTTGTTCAAATAAAAGTGGGTCCTTACTTCTCAGTGCTTGTGCTATATGGGTATTGGGGGGGGGGGGGGGGGGGGGAGGGGTGGGGTGAGGAGGAGGAGGAGGGGGAGGAAAGGTGCAGTCTGACATGCAAAAATCTATAATCACCTATCAGTTTCGCTTCATCCTGTTTTTCCTCAGCCTACCCAAACCACTTGGTAATACCTCCTGAAGTATAACAGTGTTTCCTAAGAGGGTGTCCCAATGCCTCTCTCAAACTGGGAGTGCATTTTAAAAACATCACAGTGGTGCATTTACTGGACTGAATTGTGAACTGAAGTTAAACAGCAATGAGAATGTCTGGTGTGAATATTGAATCAAAGTGAAACTTCCTTCCTTTCTTCTCATGTTTTCATAGCTTTAAGCCAAATTTTATTCTTGCTGTTCTCCATGCAAGAAGTAAATGGAGTGTGAGAGATGGGGTGGGAGCAGGCTGCAGGCATCCTGTGGTTCCGCTGCTGTTGAACTATTTTAACTTTCATAGTGTCAACTAACAGAAGAACATGTCAATCCTGTCTGCTTACATGAACCATCATACTGAAATAGATTAGATTTGTCGTTTGTGTACATCACTTACCCATTTAGCAATTGGACATCCTTGAGAACTTTTGCCTTCTTTCCCAGTGTAGACAACCCTCTCAATCCTTATAGCTTTACCCTTCTGTCCAAATCTTAAACAAACAAAAATACGTACAATAAGTAAGTAGATTAATTTGGTTCTGTGTGAACAGTGAAAAGATGGAGCACATTTCCCAGTCTTATCTTAAAAAATAAACACTATGAATTACAGGGAGGGATGCACAATGTGGTTTATTTTGCTGATTTTACTATAGTGGTACACTGATGTATTGAGAGGCAAATGTATTTAATGCATCACAGATGAGTGAAAATTATTGATATCACATTAATATTCCTAAACCTTTTAACTGTTTCTGTACAGAATTTTGTTACAGATGACATTTTGAAAAGTGGACTTGAAGCCTCTTTATTTTGGGGAGGAATTTTAATTTTTTTCTTTAATTTCTAGGTTAAAATTAAAACTCTTTCTCTGAAATGTATATACTTAAGTTGTCATGGAACAGCTGGCATGCAGTAGTCACTCTACTAATTTTTTGTGCTTATTTCTGGCTTAGATACAGTGTGAATCAGTTAAGTCATAATTAATTTGCGTCATATCTATATTATCCTCTCATAAATGGTTATTTATTTGCTGCTGCCTGACTTCTATACTGAATTAGGATCACAAGGTGCCCTCAAACAATTCTATTAGTGTGTGTTGTTCTGTGCCTGAGGAGGGAAAGCTCAGCTCTTGCTGAAGCATTTCACCAGGGTGATGATGCCATCGAGGCAGAATCTAGCCCCACATGCCAGCAGAGCTGCTGCCCAGAGCAAATGGGATTCACTTCCCTCGTCCTTTGACGGACCAGGTAGAAATAACATGGTAAGTGCTAAGTGGAGCAAATCTTGAATCACTAAAAAGCCTCAGACCTGTTAAGCCATTTCCAGGCATGTTCTGTGGCCAGAGGTCTCCCTGGAGTGCTGCAGCTGGGGGGTGCCCATCTACTGAGCCCTGAAGCACACCTGGGCTCAGGTGAGGCTCTGCTAGACACCTCGGTGTCTGTAACGTTACAGACCCAGCTCCCGTGTTGTGCCGGCTGCATGTTGAGCATGAGCCAAATTGCATTCCCATCACCAGTTCCTGAATTCTGACAGTCCCGTTACCTTTTTTCTTTTTCAATAGCCTAGTATGGGGACTAAACAATCTCCTTGTTATTTGCCTGTCACCTATAGAGAAATCAAGATAGTTCCTTCCTGTTATGCAGCCATTTAATGGTGCCTTGAGAACTTTTGACCTTTCATCCCTCTTGTTTTTGCACTAAAATCTTGGTGACGTACTTAAGAGCAAATATCTGTATTTAAACTTCTGTCCTGTACAGGAAATGAAAAACGCTTATTTTTAGATGTGATCTCATTGTGAAATTTCAATGTCTCAGGAAATTATACAAATAAAATCAAGTTGTACTACATGTGTTCTGCAGGCAACAGTTAGGTCACTTTTTCCTACTTAGGCCTGGATGTTAGTACACATTTGTTTCTTTAGTCAACCACATTAAAAAAACCAATTTTAAATCTTAATATTTTCTATCAATTTGCTGATCGGGATTACAGGATAACTGTGTGGGTGCCACTATAGAAAGATGTTGTACATTACACACTGGAAATGAAACGGACTGTGTCTCGAACCTTTTCAACTGTCACAAAGGAATTTGTGCCTGATATTTGTCACGCTTGCTTTCAGACCAAAGCTGTCTGGCTTTAAAACCAAAGCAAAACTCACTGAGCACTAAGTAGGGTTTGGGAGAAGGAAGAGGTAAAATGTATGTATCCGCCATGGATTCTGCAAGAAATTTGTTCTGGTGTAGCTAAACTATTAACTGCAACTCTAAATCCAAATCCTGTTTCGTTAGGCAGTGCTGATACCTTAAAAGTTAATCCATATTCATGGGAAGGCAGTTTAAAAGTGCTTCAGTTGTGATGAGTGTCACCAACTGCACATATGTGCTTGAGAGTATCTTTCTAGTTAAACGATTTTTTTACTTAGGGACACAAAATTAATGAGGATGAGTTCTGGAGTTCTTCAGTCAGAGAATTACACAGTTCATATCCTATGAGCAGTTGAACATGAGCCATCATTCAAGTGGCTGCTGCCACACTCTGAACCTGGCTGAGTAGATGCATGTTATCTATAATCTCCCAGGACTTCCTTCTGCCAACGTAAAATGAAATTAAATTGTGGGGGGGAGGGAAGTGAGGTCAATATTAAGGATGAAAAATTACATTCCAAAATAAAGAAATTTAAAAAGTTTCCTCTCTAGTAATTGAAATAATGACATGAATGACTTTCCTCTTTTATTTATTATTTGTAGATACTGAAGAATTAACCAGTGAATGAGAGCCCCTGGAGATAAATTCTAAGGAGCTTCTCAGGAGGGTCAGTGTTCACTCCCCCTTCACAGGAAGAAGCTGATTTATGCAGCTTACATGCATTCGAGATGCTCACAAAGCTGAAAACAAATATTGGGCAAGCCCTGCGCAGGAGAAAGGGGGAAGGAAGTTCTGGGAAAGAGAACGGACCTTAGGACTTGGAGGTAATTTGAGGGGTTTAATACACCCCAAGCGGCCCAAGGTCATGCAGTGAGGAGCACAAGCTAACAGACCTTGCTGAGAAACGTTGCTCCTTAGTTCAGGCACAGCACTGCAGGAATACCCATTTGCTCTTGCTTCTGCGATGGGCTAGAGCTTCTTTGAAGTTCTGGAGTCCAGATTTTGAAGGTATCAACAAATTAAATTCTCATCTGTCTCCAACTTCCTGGGGAGCTTTTTGTTTGTTTATTTGTTCAAAGGTGAACTGAATTCCCAGATACCCCTCAAAATCTGTCCATTAATGCCTATGCACACGGAAAGCTCCAAGTAATGCAGAGTTCACAGTGCAGAACTGTCACTTTTGTGACAGTTTTTAATTTAAGTACCTTAGGCTGGTGGGTTTTGCGTTTATACATACTTTTAAATAGCACAGATCATGCATCCATTCTGTGCTATTCAAAATTTCTGGTTTGGTTGGCTTTGATGCAACACAATATGGGGGTTGTCCACAATGAAGATAAGGCTGGTTCTGTGCAATACTCCAAGGAAGGGGGATATTTTTTCACAAAACTGCCTATCAATTCTTGGGATGAAATCCTATCCAACAACATTGTACCACTCCTCTGGACGTGACCAAGTTAGATTTAGCCCTTTAAGGCTGTGCTACATACTTAGTGATTTGTCGAGGGGGAGCTAATTTTGGAGTTTGGTATTCTGCACTTAATCTTCCTTCCACCTTGGCATTCTCCTGCCCAGAGGGAACACCAGGTCCGTGCCCGCTTTCGCAGCCATTGCCAACCGTCCTGCTTGGCAGGCTGGCGAGTGCTTGTTCCTGCTTGGGTTTTCTGGCATCTGTCTCCAAGTGTGCAGCCTGTGCCAGCCAGCAGACTATTAGCCCTGTCAAATATTGTGACTCTCTGGTGAATAGCACAGTGCGTGATGTTGGCAACACTGGGGTAGCTAAGCCTACAAGTAATTACTCCATTTGCAATTGTTTATTTCTTTATGTGCAGAAGCTGGAAAAATTCTGACATCCACAAAAGGATAAACGTTGATCTGCCCTGTGCCTTTGCACTAATTACCTTTCTTCCATGATTTCTCTAATAGCTGCCACATTAGGACCGGCTCCTAGATGGGTATAGAAAGGACCTTCATCTTTTTCAATAATTTGCTCTGTTTAAAACAAAATAAAGGTTATTACTTAGAAGCTTAATTCTGTAATGTAAAAAGTCACATTCCAAAGTTTACATCTAGCTCATTAGAATACTGCTGCATGGGCCTGGGGTCAGAGTTTTCAAACACACATGTCTAAAGTATGCCCATGCAATTTATACAAAACATGCAAAGCATGGGGCTAATTCTGCAAATAGCCACAATATGGACCGTTGTGCCTCCCTTTACCAGCACAAACAGCTGTTTCACATCTTGGGCTCTATACTGAAATTTGAAAGGCATTTTCCTGTTATCACTGAACAATTGTTTCTCCTTCTCCCACTTCCTCCTCTCCCAGTACCTAGGAAGGAGGATAAATGGGATAATGATGGTAGATATTGACATTAGTGAGCTGTACAGTACTTGTTTTTCAGCAGACGTGTTACAGTGTAGGAACCTACAGCTTGAGAAATTGGCCAGTAAGGTTACACAGAGAATCTCTGCTACCCACATAAATATTAAATGAAAAAATCAAGTTTGCTGAAAGAAATCCTGCACAAGGCTTAGTCAAAATGCTTGTATGCTAAGAATGTGGCCTGTTTTCTGTGTGTAGCTAGGCCCATGTCATCATTCACATCCATCAGGAGAAAGGCTCCAGCAGTGAGCAAGCAAGGGCCAGGCTCTGCTTGGGTTCAGGAGGGGATGGTGGAGCTGTGCTGACTTGTCTGAGGGTTGAATTCACACTTTTTGCCACGGTAACTCCAAGGGCTGAATGAGGTGACGCTGCCCTTAATGTACAGGCTCCACGGGCACGAAGAGGGCATGCTATAAACCTGAACCTGTCCATGTGGGAATGGCTTCATTTAATCTTGTAAGGACAAGGACTGGTAGGAAGCAGCAACAGACCCTATTGATTACGCTGTGGCACTGGGTTCTTCAAAAAGGACAGAAACTAAGTTTCATGTTCCTTTATTTCCTAGAGGACTACAACTGAAGAATTGAATGCAAGTGAAGAATAAGCTCTTTTTCTTAGTTAGTGGTTGCAGTACTGGCTAAAAAAGTAGTGAGAATAATGAAGTGACTGCCAAAAAAACTTGTGCCAACTACATTAAAGAGTCTCAAGAAAAAAACCCAAGTAAATTCAGTGTTTAAAAAACCCTACATTTTGTAGGTTCATTCTTATAAAACAAAAAGGAACAGCAAGGAACTGGCTTCCAGTTTTTCTTCCTGGGAGCACTACCCCCTCTTTTTGTTGCCATGCCATCATCTATGGGACACAGCCCCAAGCGTTTGAAAAGGCAAAAAGGTCCATTTTGCAGTTTTGGAGGAGAACTGGTTCAACTTCCCTCTTTTATAGTTGGTACAAATACAGTATGAAACTATAACAAGGATTTTTTTTAATTTTATTTTTGTTTTTTCTATTTTTAGTGCTGAACCTTTTGTCTCAGCCTGAATAGTTTATCCAGTGGAGTCTGAAAGTCCTGTTAGACCTGGCTATGTGCAGCGTCAGTGGTGTATGGAAGCTCGGGCTCAGGCTGCAGGGCCATGCCTATCTACATTGCTCCTTCTGCTCCTTTCTTCCAGCTTCTGGAGACCAGGTATGCTGTGAAGAAATACTGAGGGTCCTCCTCACTGCTTTTTTGGCACTGCCTGAGTAGCTTCTCTAAGAAACTGCTGATCTCTTTAGCCTTGCAGGAGACAAATGTGTGAAAGGGAACACAAACTCTTGCAACAAATGAGGAATAATCTGTCATCTCTTCTTTGCTTAGGCTTTACTGAGGGAAACTTAAGCAATTTCACTGTTAGAGCAAAAAATGGCATAAGGATCTCAAGTTTTGGACCCAGCATATATTTTACAAATGCTACATTGAACCTTGACAAATAAATGAGATTATGAAGTTATGACCTGCTTTTTATCAACATGTTGTCATCACATGTCTGCTGCTCAAAGAGAATGAATGTGAGGGGATACATTACTGGCCATAAGCATTCTGACTGAAAAAGGAAACGGGTAATTGTTTCATGAAATACTGAGAAAGGGTCTGTGTGTAGGGTTGGATAAGTGGAGTAAGCATCAGTGTAGAAAACTGCAATTGCAGAAGTCTTTGCTAATTACCATTCTAAAAAAATCCAATCCCAAAAAGCTTCCAACAAAAACTTTGACTAACCCCGTGATCCCAACTTGAAGGCTCATTTCCTTCCTGTGAACTAGTATGGTTTTAGTACATCTCAGCACTTACCAACACAGCTGCAAGATGGGAAATCATACTGGGTTTTGGCAGGCGTGTCCAATAAATTTTTTACGGGAGTATCCAATAACTTAGAAGGTGAGTCTAAAAAATTATTGAGAACAGTTCCAGCTGTTCTTTTGGTCGGGGTTTTCTCAGCAGACAAGTTTGCTTGTTGATCTAAGGTTGGGGTCTGAGTGTCAAACTCTGCAGCACTGGTATTTCTTGACAGGATGGTAATAGGGCCTGCTGTTTCAACCTTCACGTGTTTTGGTGATTTGATAGTAAAAGTCTTGTGATCAAACAGTGATTTGACCTGTATCTGTTTTAGCTGCTGTTCCATTGTCTCAATGATGCTCTTTTGTTGCATGTTCTCGCAGCTAAAGTGCTGATTCTCTTGTTTAATTGTTTTTTTCCACGTTTTGTGTTCCATCTGTCCAGCTGATGGACGCATGCAGACATTAGACTTGGTGCCAGCCTCAATTTTTATAGGCTTGCGCACTGCACTGGGGCCAATCTCAGGTTTGGGTTGCTGGTATGCTTGTTGCTCCTGTTTTTGCAAGAGATGCCACCTTAGAGCAGCATGCTTTTGAAAATCCTTAGGGGTTTGGGTCTGCAAATGACAGCTTCTCTGGTCTTGTGAGTGTGGGGCAGTTTGCTGGCCGTGTGGTACGTACCGCTGGGGAGTCTGCGTGGCTTGTTGGCTGGGGAGGTCTTGGTTCAGGCCACCGCCATAGCATGGTGTTTGCCGGAGCGGTGGCAGCTGTCTAACCGGAGCTGCTTGTGTCTGTCGCTCTTGTTCTTGAAAACAGTGATTCACATCTTGCTTTGCGGTCAAGTTGTTTGAAAAATACTGCACATGTTGCAAGTCCTGCATTCTGCTGGCTCCAAAGCGTTCGGCATTTGCGGCGTTCTCCTCCTTCTCGGCGACGAAGCGCGTATTGTTGGGGCAGGGGTGCTGCAGACCAGCGCTGGCTTTCTGAGCGTAAAGGGGAGCTTTGCTGTTCACACCCTGCACCTGCTCCAGGCCCGGCTGAGGGCTGTGCAGCGGGAACGCCGCAGCCGACTTCAGGTATTTACTCCCGGCATGGAAACATTCGTCTGCTTTCAGCTGGCTGAAGGGTGTCCTGTCTAGGGGCTGCTCAGCACTGCTTTGGGAGTGGGAAACGGTTTGGGGCAGGTCTTTATTTTTCATGTGCAGAGCCTGCTGCTGGTTTGGGGTTAGCTGCGGACCACGTGGCAGTGGCACCTGCTGCACCTGTTTTTGAAGCATCTGCTGCAGAATGTGTGAATGCAGGAATTGCTCGTTTTCCCCTGGCTGGGGATTCAAGTGCTGCTGTTTCAGCGGGGCCTCCACGGGCTGTTTGGCTGCTTGTTCTGGTCTTTGCTGGAAGAGGAGCTGCTGCGGAGGGTGTTGCTGCACTTGGGACTTGAGCAGGGAATCCATCTTTGTGAGCTGTGGCTGCGGCGAGTGTTTCTGGAACGGCAGCTGCTGGTCAGCTGTGGGACGCGGCTGCAGCTGGGAGGTCTCGCTTTGGTACAGTGGAGGGATTTGTTCCTGTTGCATTACCTTCTGGCTCTGGGGCTGCCCTGAAAGCCCCTTTAATGCATCAGGACTTCCAGCATACTGTTTTGTATAGGCTGTTTCGGCTGTGCGTGCCTGGAACTGAAGAATTGAGCGCAGTAATGCTTCGCTGGGCTTTTGGGGAGGCTCTCCCTGGCGGAACTGGGTGGAAACCAGTTCTATCCAGGCTGGTTTCGAATACCGTTGAGCCTGCTGCACAGGCTCTTTCGCTTGGTCCTTTTGTTTGTCGGAAGGAATCTCGGGTTCTCTCTGCCCTGGGAGACGCCGGTAGTGCTGCTGGAACTCGCCCTCGCTTCCGCACGCCTGCAGGCTTTTGGGGGGAGGTTCTGTTGCTGGTGGCGTTTCTTCTGGGTGCTGCTGAACTGGGGCGGCTGCAGCAGCTCGCGGGGCGCTTTCACTGGCATCTGGTTGTGACGCTTGTGCCTGCTGCGGAAGCCTCTGCTGAGGGTGAAGCTGTTGCTGGCCGAGGCCGGGACTCTCTGACATTGGCCCCTGCTGTTGCCCTTCGTTCTTTATCTCCCCAGGAAGAGTTTCGTCGCACGTGTTGTCGTAGGAATGGTGTCCTTCTTGCACCGCAACCGACAGCGCGCTGTTCATTTCTGGAGCAGGAGGAGCGGAGGAATCTTTGTGAAACGTTGAGTTCTGTTTAAAGAAAGCACCATTTTTTTCTGCTTGCTCAGAAAACCTTTCCAGAGCGGTGCTCTGAGCTTGCAGGTTACTGCTGGAACTTAGAGTGAGGTCTCGGTTGGGAACCTGCCCTACGCTTCCACGAACAGTACTGTTTCCTATGGTTAACTGGTGTGGATCATAGCCTGGAATCTGCTGCTGTAGCTGTAGCTCTGGTTTCTGAAGCGAACAGCTACCTGGCAATACGGGTGGTTTACTGGAGTCTTCTGCATTGCAGACCTTAGTAACCACTACAGCTGGCACTTGAGGCAGCTCAGAGTTTGAGGTCTGTGGGGAAGTGATCTGCCCTGAGGTATGGGATGAATGCGTTGTCTCGCAGGACAACTCATTAGTAGCCTGACTGGTAATGGCATTGATATGAGATGTGTTCTTCTGCATCGCTATGGAAACATGTTCTGGATAATATTGAGACAGTGTTTTCTCCAGGATTTCACCATGCATGCTTTCCATGGAGGAGGCAGAAACTGTAGCACCATTAGGCATTGGCACCGCCTTGTTCTTAAGTAGTAAGACAATGTCCCTGTTGTGGCAATGAATATCTTCCGGCTCCTGCTCATCCTGAATCAGAAGGTCATGAGGGTTTTCTGAACCACCACTGTTGCACCTTGTAGACTGTATCAAATCTGAAGCTTCATTTTCTTGTCCTGTAAAACTCTCGGGTTTCTTCTCACTGTAACGATCAGAGACGCTCGTGTTTCCATTATTATCTTCTGGCTCAGCTTGTTCTCCGTTTACCTCTTTGTCATGTTTCACTTTCTTGCTCTCAGGAAGTCCATACAGAGAGGGCTCACTAAACGTGCGTTTTATCCCACCATTTTGCATATATGTGGAGTATACTTTCTTTTCCTGTAAAAGGTCGGGGCTAACGCAATTGTTTGGACTTCCCTTCAGGTGGGGCACTCCATAGTTGCTTTTAGTGAATAGCTGCTTGTGGTCTCCATTTACTTCAACTTCAGGCCTCTCTGTTGCTGGACTTCCATTCTGTAGCTTCACCACAGAAGGCTCTGCCTGGCAAACGTGAGAAGATTGCGGTATTAAAAATGGACTCAATCTATTGCCGTCAACATGGTTGGTTCTGTCCTGTTCCATCTGGCCTGCTCCGGGGCCATCCACAAGGCTACCCTCTGAATGTATCTGAAAGAGAAAAGACAGACAAGCAAATCTAAGTTAAATTTAGTTTTCATTGACGGACAGCCAACTACCAACAATTCCCACAGCATTTAAGCACCCACCCCCCCGACCAGGTCCCAGGGGTAACGGGAGCTCGCAGGCGCACCGGAGGAGTGTTTCACTATATGATCGCTTTTTGCAGCCCTCTGACTCCCTTTTCCTTGAAGGTTGCTTCTTCAAGATGAAGAGAGAGCAAAGAGAGTGGCTCCCTATCCCCATTTAATGCACAAGTAGGTATTTTACAAAAAAAAAAAATAAATCTCCTAATTGTGCAAAAAATATTCTCTGCTCTCAAATTATTTGCAGATACTCCTCCGCTGACACTTTTTCCCCTTGGTAAGGCAGAAAGTCATGCCGAAACCATGGTTCCCAGACTTGGTGCTAATCCTGTTATTTGATTAAGTGTGTCAAACCTCTTCTCTGTGACTTGAAGGATTATTGCCACCAAGCTTGCCAATTAGAGGGGAAAACCCCTTTTTTCCTGTCTTCAGCTGCCTGACAAGGCCTTTTAAAACTGGCATTCCTAAAGACCAGGCAAGTGGCACGGTACACATGTGAGACCAAGCCACCCTTTGTTGCTGTCCATAGGAACTCTTACAGTTCATCAGCTTTTTGGTAATGTTGTCAAATCAAGAGATTTTTGAAAGGTTTTATGGAAGTGGTTTTTTTTGTTTTTTTTTTTTCAGGTATTAATATCCTGTAAAATTTCCATATAGATATCAAACACAGCTTAAACTATGCATTTGGGTTTTGAACTGAGCCCCACAGTTATGAAGCTACGATTTTATTCTTCTTTGTTTGGATGGAAAAATCCCCTTTTCTTATATACTCTTTATGTTTTATTTGTAAAACTAAGTTCTACATTGGATACAAGTCCTGATGATGTGTAGTGAAGAAATCCCACGTAATGACAAGCTAAGCCTGTTCACATGGATCTTCCCAGGGTTCACAATCCCAGTTAACACAGATAAAGCCCTTGTTTGACTCTGCTTGTAATTTATTCTTTGTTGGCTTTTGAGTTCTCAGTCACGAATGACAGAAGACACACTGACAGAGGGTCTTACAGATGTGAGGCTGCACAGAGACAGTTTGGACTCACGCATGGTTTTGTCCTGAAGCTTTTATTTTTAGTTTGCATAAAAGGGAACCTGAAAGGTTCTCCATTACCAGGTCATCTCTGGTTGGGCTGCAAAGTCAGCAGAAGTGCTACACGTGGCTGCAACTGCCACCACATAGGAAGAGCTACTATGCTGGAAAAGTTCTCTCATCACAGTTGCTCTGCTTATGTATTTATCCTACACTATTTTAATTTTTTTCTTAGATGCTAAGGAACATCTAATTTATACAGTTTTCAGTGCAGTATAGCCTTAGCGGAGTAATATGATCCTAAAGTGCTCTTAACAGTAATATTAATTAATGAGATGAATCACATTGAGTGGAATCCTCTCTGCTTGCAGCTCTGATTTCAGTATCAACGAAAATTCAAACCTAGATCTTGACTGGGAAGCATCTACATGATGACTTGTATCTACTTCCTCCTTATCCCAAACTTGGTCTTAGATTTACTTTTGACCTCATGAAGATTTTTTTTTTCTTTTTTTTCTTCTGTACTCAATTGATGTTCTGTATTACAGAAGGAGAGAATTTCTCTCTGCAAGTTAAAGTACTTAAAAAAAAAAAGAGGTTTTTGAAGGGAAGGCTAAGAATAGGGAGATGGAAAAGAAGATTTGTCCATTTTTCCTGTTTCTTTTTTGACAAGGCGGAGTAGGCTTCTTCTCTTCTTGATATATTTCAGTGTATTTCCCAATCTAGTTTTGAAGTACCACAATACACAAGCCTCTGCAGCATTCCCAGGGAGGTGATATTCCATGCTTAACAGAAAGCCATGTGAAAAGGATTCCTCTGATGCGTCATTTGAGGCCAGGCAGCAGAATGATGCTCCCAGAGAGTCTCAAAAATAAAATGCCAGCCTAATTTGGAAACAATTCTTCACCTTCACACCTTTCATACCTAGAAATTGCAGCTGAACGACAATTCAGACATGAGTGTGTAGGCTGATGTATTTTGCAAGTATGAAATGAAATAAAAGGCACCACAGTAATTAACACAGTGCCGTCGAGCTGCTTCTGAAATATTTATTTAAAAATAAAAAGTTTTAGTCTGTGTAATTGAACCGTGAGAAACTTCATCTGGCCATCAAAGTCTGCTTTGCTGTTTGTGTTCTGCTGATGGACTCAGTGGGTTGCAACTGAATTCCTTCCAAGAGTTCCCAGATAATCTTTCTTCTCAACTCCCTACTGATGGGTAAAAACACCTTTTTGTTCAGAAGTGGGGGCTGCCCAACTTCTCTAAGCCTACCCTGCAAAGCCCTCAAAGGAGCACCTCTGTACTTCAGAAGAGAGTCCTAGGTTCATGCCATCTTCAAGAACATGTGACATGGATTAGTGTTATTATTGGTATTCTCAAAGACCTCATGGTATGAGACCACCAGTTCTGCTAAATGCTGATCACCTCCAGTGTAAAAGGTACTGGTGCTGGGCACTGCAAAGGACACAGAAATCATCTGGTTCTTTAAAATACAGAGTGAATTCATCAATTAACAGTGCCAGATTTGCATTTTTTGAAATGCATCTAGGATTGTGTTGACTTTGCATTATACTTCTTTCTGTCTACGCTCCCTTATTCACAATCCTTGAGTCACACCCGACTACAAATCTTGCTCAAGCGGCTACAAATCACAACAATTACTTGTAATTTAAAACTGGCAAAAGGCAAATGGCGGTGATACCTTTATTACTGGTTTTAACTGGGACACCACAAAGATACTCTTGATACTATTGTTAAGCAGACCTGTCTGTGCCTTACAAAGTTTCTGTGCTCTTCTTTACAATAGTTGTGGGTGAACTGTCTGCCTCTCAGAGTACACCTGCCTTTCCCTAAGGCACCAGATAGCCTTTTTTCTTTCCCATAAATGTATTTTATCCAGACCATTTACAAGCTCCACGTATTTTTCTTCAGCTATAACTGATTCGAAATTCAAGTCACATCAGCAGCATCTGTGAAACAATTACTGCATCTAGGACCGACTCTGCAGTCTAATCCATCATAATTATGACTGGCCTCTTTGAGGATGCCACGATGCGTGACTTAAATCTAGCACACTGCTGTGCCAACGGACCAGCAGCTCATCCCACCGATAATGCAGCCTGCCGCCGCTGGACTTCCCCAGACGCAGGCAGTGCATGTACCTGTACTTCTTGCTGCATATGGGGCACAAATTGGAAACCAGGTACTGAAGGGCAGTTTGAGATTTTGGGTTGTTTTGTTTTATGGACAACTTTGGCATATTTCTGCCACCTATCAATACAGGAATACTGAGAGGCTGCGGAAGAGAGTTATGAACGAGACAAACTTCTGTGGTGACAAAAATACTCTTAGTTACACAGTTCTCTTTCATGGAAAATCTTTCTTTGCTTTTAGCCAGTTCTAAAGACTCATACCTTATTTCATGTAGCACCTGTATTTGGGGAGTTTGCGAATGCAAAGCAGCCTAGATGAATGAATGGACAAAAACACCCACTGCAGGGGAGCACAATCTTCTGCAAAGCTGGGCAAGGTTCCCAGTAGAAAAGGTAGAGGGGGGATGCCATGTTAGAGTACTCATTGCCCTGGAAGGACTAAAAGGTGGGATGCCAGATGGGTTGTTTCCTCTTCTGGGGTTAGCTGGGATAAAAATATATCTCCTCAGAGGTTTTTTTTCCCAGCAGAAATATCCCTCCTCAGATCATGACCTCATCAGACTTGTGCTCGACTGATTATCAGGATGAGACTCAAGAAAGCAGAAGTCGGATTCCTGCGAGCTTGTCAATGGCTCGCTGGGTTGTTCCTAGAGTGCTGCCACAGCCTCCAGCCTGCCCGTACCCTTCTGCCACTGCCAGGTGACACAAAGGTCTAAACTGCTCTCAGACATGAAACCCCTGTAGCGCTTTCTAGACAGGAGGGGAATTTGCATACATGTCTTACCAAACCCCGGGTTGGTAAGTTGTGCTTTCTGCTTGCACTCTCCTGCTCCTAACGCCTGGGTACAGTAGCTGGCTTCACTGCTGGCTTCATTTGCTACATATTATTGTCTGCTGTCGTGCAGTTGCTTCTCTCCTCTGAAGCTTATGCTGCTGGCAAAGAGGTCTAAATCCTGAACTTCAACCAGCGAAAAAGCTTCTGAAGTGAAGAGTGTTTGGTTTTGGGTTTTGTTGTTTCGGTGTTTTGGTTTTTTTTTTTCTATTTCAAGACGAAGGAAAATTTGAGGAAAGGCACGAGTGGAGTTATTTCTAAGTAAAGACCCTCATACCTGGCATTTTCAGAAAGCTCATTTCTGCACTAAAACCTTAAATCTTCTGGACTTGTATGTCTGTGAAATCGTTTCTGATGAACTCTGTGTCAAAGTTTTCTCTTTAACTTCAGCACAAGACGTTCAAGCAGTTACAACGATGCTCAGCACCGTGATTTATAGTCGTGATTGCATTCATGCCCAAGGTGAACTGAGGCTCTGCACCCCACAACATGCCCTAAGGATCTGCTCTGCTCCCTGCCAGCATCACCGCTGCCCTGCTGCAAGCCTGGTGGCTGGGGAAAGCACGGTGAAACTTCGAGGCAGATGTAAAGGAGGCCTCGGGAGGACAAGGGCACTCTGTTGTTAGCTGGGCTCTGTGGCTTACAATGGGGTCCTTTTGCACTGCATTCAGCTGTCTCTTCATCTGGATAGTATATTTACTCAGGGCATTAGCAACGCTTCAGAAAAAAAAACTTGCATAAGGATGTCATGCCTTCTGTGTCCCTCCAAGTTTTGAAGTTAAAGCTATTTCTACAATATACGTATGACATTCTCCTTCTAGCTTTAAATAGCAGTTAAGGGGTTAATCTAGAAACTCCTGGATGAGACTCTG